TTTTTTTAGGCTGAAACAATGCAGGGCCCGTGAACCCCAGATGTCAGGCTTTTGGGTTGAACCGTCATGGGGCCAGTAGGCCCGGAAATAGCCTTTAGTTTAAGGCTGAAAAGGCTCAGGCCTTTTTTAGGCTGAAACGATGCAGGGCCTGTGGGCCCCAGATGTCAGGCTTTCGAGCTGAACCGTCATGGGGTCCGCAGGCCCGGGAATAGCCCTCAGTTTCAGGCTGAAAAGGCTTAGGCCTTTTTTGGCTAAAACGATGCAGGTCCTGTAGGCCCCGGATGTCCGGCTTTTGGGCTGAACCATCCTGGGGTCGGCAGGCCCTTATTTCCAGGCCTTGAGCCTGAAATTCAGGCTTCCAGCCTGAACGACGTAGGGCCTGGAAAATGGCCCTCGTGTGCAGGCGCAGGATGTAACACCCCCCCCTCCTTATGAAGTCAAGCCGAGTCGGGGGCGCAGCCGACGATCTGAAGGTGGAACCTGGACGCGGTTGCGGCGTGGAGCCGAAGATGCCGGCTTGCCTTGCATGTTTCGTTCATACCATACGAGAACATCTGGAGCTGTCGCTTGGAGTTCCGCAAGGGTCAACGAGCGGTCGGCTCGGTGGGTGCAATACGCAAAGTGTACGAGATACTCGGTCGGCTTGTTGCCGTAGCGTCGCTAGGAAATGAAGTCACCGACCTCCTGAAAGTCGTCCATAGAGGGTGGGTCTTGAGATCGTCGCCCGAGAAAGTCATCTTGGTCTGCTGGTGTGTACAGCGCCCACTTGGAGCAACGGAAAACTTGGTAGACGGGCAAGTGGGCGGGCACCTGAACTGTGAAGGACGGTCCCTCAGGTGCATCCCGAGCAGGTGCTACAATCGGCTATGGGGCCATCCATTTCGGGAGGAGCTTGCGAGAGATATCCTGCTCAAGGCTGAATTCCGCGGCGGAAACCCACACTAGGTCGCCGGCGCGAAATGGATAAGGAAGACGCTGGCGATTGGCCTGCTGGCTCATGCGTTGCTGCATCTTTGCCATCTGATTGCGTGCCTTGACAAAAAGCTCTTGCATCCGGCGCAAGAAAAGGAGATGGTCGTCGCTCTCGGCCGTGCGTGGAACGATGGTGTCCAGCGGAGAAGTGACCGGAGAGCCATGCTCAAACTCGAAAGGCGACATCCCGATAGTCGGGTGGATGGACGAATTGTAGGCCAATTCGACATCCGGCAGCCGCTCAACCCAATCCTTCTGATCGGACGGATGAGAGTGCGAAGAAGAACCTGTGCCGTCTGGTGCGCCTTCTCCGTCTGGCCATCCGTCTGAGGGTGGCGAGCTGAACTAGGCTTGAGAGATGAGCCCCATCGTTTGGTGAGTGCCAACCAAAAATCAGACATGAACCGAGTGTCGCGGTCGCAGACGATTTCCTTGGGGTAACCCTTGGTTCGAATCCAACCGGCGTAGAGAACCTCGACCAATTCTGGTGCCTTGGCATGATAGCGACAAGGCAAAAACATGGTAAATTTGGTGAGTCGATCGACTACCGTGAGAATCCCATCCACACCGGTCTTGTGCTTGGGGAATGGTCCAGTGATATCCATGGCAATCGCCTCCCGTCGGCGCAAGGGAACCGGTAGTGGTCGCAACTCGCCATACGGACGATGATTGCGGGATTTGCAACGCCGGCAAATCTCGCATGACTCGCAGTAGCGTGTGACGTAGTCGAGAAGACCGGGCCACCAAAATCGCTCGCGAAGTCGGCCAATCGTTCGATTGACGCCAAAATGTCCGGTGGCGGGAGCATCGTGGAACTCGCCAAGAAGCCGCGTACGCAAGTAAGGGTCACTCGGTACGCAAAGAAGATCCTTCCCCCGCGAGTGGACGAGCAAATATCCCTCCTGGATCCGGTAGTGAGAAGGTGCCGGATTGGGTGAGGAACAATTTTCGTACTTGTCGCGAAACTCGGGGTCAGCCTGGTAGCCGCGGATGAAACTGTCTCGCAAGTCGTCGTCAATCTCGAACGTCGAGTAGACCGCGGTGCAATGGTCCGGACGCCGTGAGAGAGCATCCGCAAAACGGTTCGACTTGCCCGGAATGTGATCGGGGAAAATGTCAAACTGGTCAATGAAGGCCATCCAGCGGGCAATGGTGCTGTTGACTGTGTCCTGGGTCTTGTAAAAGACCAACGGGTTGTTGTTCGTTACCTATCGGAACTGCCGTCAACCAAGAAGGAAATGCCGCCAGCGCTTGAGTGCGTGTACGAATGCCAATAACTCCTTTCGTGCATCATCAATAGAGTGCACGGCGGGCACTTTCTTGCTGAAATACTCGACCGGGTGCCAGTCCACGCTGTCGTGTCGTTCGAGGACTGCACCAATGCCATAGCCGGATGTATAAGTAGTGACGCGTGTGGGCAATAGCGGGTCGTAGATCCGCAAGACCTCCACTGACAAAAGTGCAGCTTTAAGAGCCAAGAAGGATTCCCGCGCATCCTCGTCGAAGTTAAACGGTCGATCCTCGCATTGAAGCTTGGTCAAATGGGCCGCGATCTTCGAATAGCCCTTGATGAAGCGCTGATAGTAGCCGGCAAGACCAAGAAACGAACGGACATCCGTGACGTTACGCGGCTCCGGCCACTCCTGGATGGCTTGAATTTTCTCCGATAGGGGGCTGATGCCCTCCGGTGTGACAAAATGGCCCAAGTACTCAAGCTCTTGCCAGACGAACTCACACTTATCGCGGTTGGCTTTGTACTTGGCACGGCGGAGCGTCTCCAACACTCATCGAAGATGCTCAAGATGATCCTCCAAGGTCCGACTATAGACGAGAATGTCGTCTAAGTAGACCAGCACAAACTGATCCAGCATCGCACGAAACTCATTGATCATTGCCGCTTGGAAGGTTGTCGGGGCATTGGTGAGGCCAAAAGGCATGACCACCCACTCAAAATGCCCATACCGTGTCTTGAATGCGGTTTTGTAGCAATCATTGGGGCGTATCGAAATTTGATGATACCCCGACTTCAAGTCCAACTTGGAAAAGAACTTAGCACCGCCCAATCGCTCAAGAAGGTCGTCGATACGAGGAAGAGGCCCCGCATTCTTCACAGTTTGCGCGTTGAGCTTGTGGTAGTCGATGCACAGACGTAAATCCTTGTTCTTCTTCCTTACGAAGAGAACCGGTGCTCCATATGGGGAGCTGCTAGGGCGGATCCAGCCCTTGGCCAACAACTCATCGAGTTGTGCGCGAAGGACCTCCAGTTCCTCCTCGCTCATCCGATAGATGCAACCTTTCGGCGGCACGGCACCGGCCTCAAGAATGATCTCGTGAGAGATCGGTCGATCCGGCACCACACCGGTAGGTGACTCGAGATGTCGGCGAACTCGTCAAGCAGCCATACCACACGGGGGTCGGAAGACAAGTCTGATGGTGAAGAGTCGACTACCGCGACGGTCCGCAAGAAACATAGGCCTATCTCGTCGGGTTGCTCATATGCACATGTAGCCCGGAACGATTTGGCCGTCACGACCTGGCACCGGATCGAAGGGTGCGGAAGAGGAATAGTACACGGCACCTCGGCGCCGAGGGTGTCGCGAACGCTGAGAGTCCGCTGGTGAAAGTTGACCGTGTGATCCGCACTTGCGAGCCAAGGCATTCCCATGATGATATCGAAGTCCGTGTACAAGATGTCGAACGTGACCGGTACAGCCTCGATGTAACGGTCAAGAAGTTGCTGCGTCTTTCCATCCGCCAACTTGATCGCCGTCGGGTTTGCCTTCCTTCGAACCTGCGCGACGAGGCCATCCCTTTGCATAAAGGCTTGGCTCATGAAGTTGCGAGTCGCGCCGCTATCCAGCAAAGCGCTGCAGGACGCTTGCCCAACTTGGATGCGGACATACATCAGCGGTGCGTCATTGTCGTCGTACCGCTGCGTGCGAAACTCGCGGGCCACCTTGGTAACATATGCCAAGATGTCCCCCACCGCGACCTCGTCATCCGTCGGCAAAGTTGGTGGTGCATAGAAGGACAAGTACTTGTGAAGATGGGCGCAGAGTGCTGCGCATTGCGGTCCCGGCAAGCGGCCCGTGGTCAGGAGAGGAAGCCATGCGAAATCCTCAGACGTGAGCGGGTTCAATTCCTCTATGTTGAACTCGCGCGCCGAATCCCGTGAAGAACCACTTGAAGACGAAGAAGAACCGCTGCCGGACGGAGAAGATGCTGCACACACGTCTTGTCCTTGAGCAAAAGATCCCAGCGTCGGAACGAGCCGGGCAGCATAGTCCTCAAAAGAATAGAGAAGAGGACTATCGGCTTCCGCATGCGCCCCGGAATGAAGGTCGGTTACTCGCGAAGAAACCGGGTCCGAAGGCGTCGAGAGTGTCGTCGACGCACTCTTGGCGGCGCTCAGTTTCCTTGCTTGCCCTTCCCCTTGGTAGGGCAGCCCGCTGTCTCGTGGCAGTCGTTGTTGCACCACAAGCAGTAACGGTATTTCGTGCGTTGCTTGTAAGCTTGCTCCGAAAGACCGTAAGGGGTCCAGGGGCCCTGAGCTGCTGCGCCGGGCCCGGGGTTTGATGTGGTGTTTGTCGTCGATTTGCCGCGGCCTCGGCCTCAGCCGGGGAGGCCACCATCCCGGGCAGCTGCGAGTCTGTCTCCTTCATTGGCAGACTCCGCCTCGCTAGATTGGCTGCTTGGCGATGCCGCCGCAGCCACGGCCACCTTGGGCCGATGCTGGTCCTTGCTCGGGCCTGCTGCAACACGAGTGAGGTTCTTCGCCTCCTTGTTTGTGACGATAATCTCCGCGGCCTTATCGAACAGTTGCGCCGTCGTTGTCAGTGTGTCCTCAACATGCGTCAAGGCGTTGCTCAACGCCGGGCACGACCTTGAAATGAAATAGTGCTTGATGGCTTTGAAACCCATCGGGAGACCTAGGACGGATGTCAAGCGTTGGTACTCGGCAATCCAGTCGACACTTTGCAGCGAGCCTTGCTCGAAGGTCATGAGCTTGTCCATGGCCTTGATCTCCGGCGGCTCCGCTTGGAACCGCTTGTGCCACGCCGCCTTGAGGTCTTCCCAGCTGATTTTCGTGTGTAACTCGGCAGCGACCACCCCGTACTGGGACAAGTGATTGTCCAGCCATGCCTGGCATGCGCCTCCCGACCGGGAGTATAAGTACGCGTGGTGCTTGCATTCGCTGACGAGATGCAGTTGCAACGTGAGTTCAAACTTGCGAAACCACTGAACTGGATCCATCTTTGTTGAATCGCAGAAGATCATCTGACTGTCAAACTAAGGAGTTGACTCGCGCTGTCCCAAACTCGGGCTGGCGGCGGCTGCACAGACCCGCTGCTCCAATTGTTGAGTAGCGGTTTGTTGTAGTCGTGCGCCGTCCTTGAGTGCGCTGACGTCAATCTCCAATGCGTTGAGGCGGTCTGATGTGTTGGAGGAGCTTGCCACAGGGGCGGCGGCGGGTCGTTGCTCCAGCTGCTGTACGCGGCTGCGAACACTCTTGACTTCGGCATCGAGGCTGTGAATGTCCTCCTGCTGCGCGATGCATGTCGCCAGGAGGTCCGTGAGATGGGAAAGGAGGAGGGCAATCTTGTTCTCGCTCTCCTCCATCTTCCCTGTTTCCGCCTCAGTTCGCCATTCCACTGCCAATATGAGTAATGCTTGCTCCCCGCTGAAAATCTTCTCACGCCGCTTCAATCGTTCTTCATCTGCAGCCTTCGCTGCTGCCTCGGCCTGCAGACGCTGCTGTTCAAGAGCTAGCAGTCGTGCCTGCTCGGCATCCTCCACCTTCTTCTTCTCTGCGGCTGCTACTACATCCGCCCGCTGCTTGGCTTCTATGATCAAAGCCAGCATGCGGTCCTGATATGCCTCTGCCGTTTCCCCCGGTTTTTGGTCCATGACGGCTGTCTGCGAGCGAGTCAGCATAAACAGGCCTGGGTGGCTGACGTGGCACTACCTGTTAACGTGGCCTGCTGACGTGGTCTGCTGATGTGGTCTACTGACGTGGTCTGTTGACGTGTCCTGCTGACGTGGTCTGCTGACGTGGCCCGCTGACGTGGCAACTTACCAACGCCACCACAAGGAATACTCGGAATGGATGAAGAAGATGAGATCAGAGGTGGCAAACAACGTAGATAGGGAGTGTGGGTGGGGTAGATCGCCCAGATAAGGAGCCGCTAATCAAAACAGAAAAGTTTGAACTTTGCAAGGGGACGAAAAAAATAAAATAAAATATTTGTTTGCAAGTTCAGCAAGCTCCCCCAATCCCCGAAGTACGAGATACAACTGAAAAAATTTCGACTTCCAGACTGCAAATGATTACAGAAAAAGATTCGGATTTGCTTTAATAAGAGTATGCGCAGCTTGGAAAGTAGCACTGCCAGAGAGATTTCTCGTACCGTTTTGAAAAAAAAACGAACTTCGAAAAAAAAATATTCCGAATTTTTCAAGTACGGAAATCTGCAAAATCGAGATTTTCAAAAAGAGATATTCTGGATTTCCAACAACGAAATTTCGACTTTTCAGAAAACAAGACAACAGAAATTTCAGGAGTTGTGCTACTGCGATTATTCCACAATCAGAAATCATGGAAAAACGAAATCCAGAAGAAAAAAAAATCGATTTTTGGCAGTTGGGTCAAAATCGTGATTTTGGGGATTACCTAGTGTGCTCAACCCACCAATAAGTCAATCGAGTCTTCTTCAACAGCTAACTCCCCGTACACGTGTCAGATCAGGTAGTCTTGATTCACGTGCGCAGCTCCGATACCAACTGTTACATGCCAAGTTGGGCTATGTATTCAGCCAAGGATCTGCAATGTGATGAAAAAGACTGAATCGACAATGTACTGTTAGAGAAACATCAACAGACAATGTACATCCCGATACATGAAAAATGGCATTTGATAGTACAGCGGAAGACTTTGAGATAAGTCCTGACCTGACCTGGACTGTTACGACATCCCATCATACATCACACATGTGAGAGGGAGAGGAGGGACCGCA